TGGGGATATGTCAGGGAGGTGGGTGTGGCAGAAGCTTTGCCTGGGGGCTGTAGTTGAGAGAGTTTGAGGCCAATTTCCAACAACAAAAAAACTACTTTGCTGAACAAATGCTGCATTGACTCCCCCACTCTTCCCTCCTCCCTCCTCCCCATTTCCCCAAAGCTAGGGAGTGGCACCATTCAGATCTGAGGCCAGACTAAGGACTCTCCCACTCCCTGCTTCCAGTATGTCCACACCAGGGGCCTATGTGCCTCCATTCCAACTCTGAACAGTGCCAGGTTCTGCCATCACCTTGGTATCAGCTCTTCCTACTGTGCTTTGAGATGATGGTGGAGGGGAGGGAGCTGACCTCCAACCCAGGGCCTATCTATCCCTTGGGAGAAAGTGCTCTCCCTCCCCCTTAGTCTGGTCTCTACAGCTTCTGGTCCTGCCTGGGGTGGGGCTGCCGAGGCTAGAGGCAGTGCCAAGCAGAGGTGGCATGGTAGGGCCGGCAGAAGTGTCTCTGGACTCCTCTTAAACCCTTATTTGGAGCCAGGCGATTTGTCCGCTTGGCGCAAAGAGGTGCCATTGTTCCCCGGGTGGGGGGAAACTGGGTACCTGGCTCTCTTGCCAGCCTGTGCCCACCTATCTCCTGGTTCTGACTGCTCAGCAGAACTCTGCTCTGATTTAGGAGTGGGATAGAGAAGGGGGTGATAAATACCAGGAGGAGTCACTCTATTTATTGGCTGGTAGTTTAGGACATCCCACCTATTCCCAGGAATCATTTACCCCCACCACAGGGGCCTTCCCAGAGGCCTGAGGCCTGAGTAAGGGCATGGTTGGACAATCAGGCAGATGGGCAGTAAATGAATAATGTCTAAATACTGTTATGCACATGCCCATTTAGCTCCTCTGGAGCTTTACTCCTCCTTCCCTTCCCCAGGGCCAACTCACGGAAGCTGGCTCTGCTTCGCCATCCCCTGGCCATTGGCCATTGGTGTCTGGCTACCCCTGTGGCCAGTGGTGAAGTCATAGAGCACTGACTGTTAAAGTTGGGAGGATCCTTTGAGACCGTAGGATAACCCCATAATTATCTAGTTTTATATGAAATTGATACCCAAAGCAAGTTCCACCTTGTAAAGGAGACTTTTCCTGATCCTCTCAATTTGGAGTTCTACTCCCCTCCCCCAAATTAGTTTATATTTACTTTGTATTTTTGTACCTACGTATATGTGTACCTGTTTTCTCCCCTGCTCCTTGAGGACAGGAACTGTTTTATTTCTGTCTGTGTCCCTGTGCATTGCACATAGTAGGAGCTTAATAAGTACTTGTTAAGTGAATTAGTGGTAAAGCCAGGACAGTACTCCAAAGCTCTTGGAGAGGAGGTTCTAACAGCTGCCAGGGTTAGGATAATCCCAAAGCAATAGAGGACACATGGACTGGGGTCATGACCTTGATGTTCAGTAGCCCAGATGA